CCTCCGCGCTTATCCCGCTTCTGCTTCCTGTCGCGCCGCTTATGGCGCTTCCACTGTGGTCGTGATGATGGAGTGAGGGTCGGTGATGGTACCGGCTTCCAGAGCAGGCCGCTGTCACGTAGCTCTTCTTCGAGTTCGCTGTTTATTCCTAAAAGTGTGTTTTTTCTGACATCAAGCAGGAACTCACAGCTATACTTGCATTGTAGGACATGTAGACATGACGAAGACGTACAAGCACATTCCAGCTTGCAGGACAAAGAAAACAAAAACACTGTTCTGTCGGGAGGGAGAGAAGCCGCAGCGTGTGCGTGCGCCACCATCTTTAGTTCAGTTGATCAGCATTGATATGGGACGTTAACTAGTAGGTAATATAGGGTCTTTGCCTGGTTTTAACAGGTGACTAATGTTGGCTGAGTTTATATTTTCTGGAAGTCTGTTATTTTTCTCAGTTTCCTGCAGCATTCTGTGAAGTAGTGGTGCCAGGATATTCCAGAATTGCTTGTGGAACTCTGCTGGAAATCCATCTGGACCTGGAGCCTTTTTATTGAACATGCTTCCAAGGGCTTCCTGGAGTTCCAGTAATACCATAATATACCATTTCATTTATAGAGCACTTAAAACAGCGACAAGGCCAACCAAAATGCTGTACAGACAGAACAACAGGGAACACACAAAGCAAAATACAAAATTATGTAAATCAGAAATATAGACATAAAAACGATGCATATAATGACAACTAACCAGTGTGGAGCATACAGGTTCAAAACACAGATCATCTGGTGTTGAAAGCTACCGAATAGTAGTGGGTTTTTAAACAGGACTTGAAAACCGAGAGGGAGGGGGCCTGTCTGACCAGCAGAGGTAACTCGTTCCAAAGTCTTGGTCCTGCTACAGAGAAGGCCCTGTCCCCTCTGCACTTAAGACGAGTTCTTGGAACTGTGAGGAGCAACTGGTCCGCTGACCTCAGGGAACGTGGTGGGACATACGGTTGTAGCAGATCAGAGAGATTGGTTGGGGGGGGGGGGGGAGACTGTTCAGTGATTTGTAGACATATAGGAGTATTTTGAACTGGATTCGAAAGTGAACCGGTAACCAGTGCAGTGAGGCCAAAACTGGTGTAATGTGCTCTCATTTGCCTGTACTGGTTAAAAATTGGGCTGCTGCATTCTGGACCAGTTGTAGTCGTGCAATGGAGGTCTGACTGATACCAAACAGGAGCGAATTGCAGTAATCAAGCCTAGATGTAATGAATGCATGTATTCCAAAAAAGTTCAATCTGGTCCTCTGGACATTCAAAAAACAAAAAACAAAGCAAAAAAATATAGAAACGTTTCGTCTCTCATCTGAGGGACTTCTGTCAGTCTGAGGTGCTGTATTCAGTTCAGTCTCTTAAATAGCACCTTCTCAGAGTGGATCAACCAGTTTGCTGCTGACAACCAAAACCAGCTGCTCACATGGTCAAGAAGGACCATCAGTCTAACAATGTATCATTAGCACACTGATGGCTGTTTACTATTCACAGGGGGTTGAGTGATACTAGCAATAACAGCAGTGTAAGAGGGGGACAGTTGAACCCGGAGGCCTCCACCCCTGTTTAATGATGGACGATTTCTTTTCACAAAGATGGCCTCCTTTACTCCTCTCTCAAATCATCGTTCCTCTCTGTCCAGGATGTGAACATTTTCATCCCTGAAAGAGTGACCGCTGGCCTGGAGATGAGTGTAGACCGCAGAATATTGGCCTGATGATGTTGATCTTCTGTGCTGGGCCATCCTTTTGGCTAGTGGCTGTTTAGTTTCCCCGATGTAAGACTGATCACAGCCCTCATAACACTGAACAGCATACACAATATTACTCTGTTTGTGCCGGGGGACTGGATCTTTGGGATGAACCATTCTTTGCCGTAATGTATTTTTGGGGTTTAAAAGCCACTGGGACTTTGTCTTTAGAAAATAAACATCTCTTTTTCTCTGATACTCCCTCAACATACAGAATGACCACTGGCCTGGGTCTGGGCTCCTCCTTTTCACCTGATGGCTGACTGGAGTCCTTTTTGGGTTTCTTCTCTGCTTTCAGGAAGGCCCAGTTAGTGTAGCCACATTGCTCTAGAGCCTGTCTTGTGTGGAATTTCTCCTTCTGCGTGGCTCCTGAGTTAGTGGGGACGCTGTCTGCTCTGTGGTACAGAGTCCTGATGACTCCTAACTTGTGCTCCAAAGGGTGATGTGAATCAAACTGCAAATACTGGTTTGTGTGGATGGGTTTGCGGTACACCTCAGTTTACAAATGTCCTCTATCAGAGTCTGAGACCTCACAGTCCAAGAAAGCCAACCTGCCCATCTGCCTGAAGACTGCCACCATCATCCCAGTCCCAAAATTCTCTACAGTGACTGGTCTGAATGACTATCGGCCAGTGGCCCTCACCCTGATAGTCACTAAATGCTTCGAAAAACTGGTCATGACCCACATCAAAACAACCATCAACATCAACGAGAACTCTCATCAGTATGTATACTGTGAGAACCGATCAACAGAGAATGCCATCTCCTCTGTGGTCCACACTGCGCTCAACCACCTGGAGCAGAAAGACCCTTACGTTCGTATGCTCTTTGTGGACTTCACATCTGCCTTCAACACCATGATCCCCCAAACCCTGATGGACAGTTTCGTTCACACTAAGACTCAGCCCATCCATTTGCAACTGGGTCCTGGACTTCTAAACAAACAGACCACAGTCAGTGAGGATCCAAAACTTCTCCTCCTCCACCATAACCCTCAGCACTGGCTCTCCTCATGGATGTGTGTTGAGCCCTCTCCTGTTTACTCTGCTCATGTATGATTGTGCAGTTACCCATCCAGGCTGTCATATTGTAAAGTTTGCAGATGATAAAACGGTGGTGGGATGCATCACAAACATTGATGAGTCCAGCTACAGGCAGGAGGTGGAACACTTGGAAAGTTGGTGTAAAGAGAATAACCTTCACATCAATGTGAAGAAGCCAAAGGAGATGATTGTGGACTTCAGAAGGAACAAACACACCTACACCCCATTAACATAAGAGGATCTGCGGTGGAAGTGGTCTCCAGCTACAAGTACTTGGGTGTACACCTGAATGACAACCTCAGCTGGGGCAACGACACCATCAGCCTGATCAAGAAAGCACATTGCATACTCTACGTCCTCAGGCAGCTGAGACGAGCTGGTCTGGGAAGTTCAGAAGTTCAAGTTTCCTCACCTCCTTCTACAGGTGTGCAGTAGAGAGCATCCTGTGCTCCAACATCAACGTGTGGCATGGAGGCTGCACAGCTGCAGAAAGAAAAGCTTTGCAGAAAGTGGTGAAGGCTGCACAGAAGACTGTCGGAGTCAGCCTCCCCACCATCACAGACATCTACACCTCCAGATGCAGGAAGAGGGCCACCTGCATCATGAAGGACCCCACTCACCCAGTACACATACTTTTTGCTCCGCTCCCCTCAGGAAGGAGGTTGAGGAGCATTAAGTGTAGAACCACTAGACTGAGGAACAGCTTCTACCCTGAGGCTGTTACTCATGAATCTCTAACCAGAATAATCACTGTGAAAATTACATCATGTTGCTGCTGATCTGTTTCATGTTGCTGTGTTCATGCTTGCTCATCTGTTCACGCATACTCATGCTCAAGTTCATGCTGCTGTTCGACGTATTGTTTTTTACGTAATTAGTGCTTAGTGTAATTTTAGTTGCTGTTTTTCTTAGTTCATATCTTAAATGTTGTCATTGTTTTTCTTTTACATTTTTATTGTTGGATGTAACTGGGACCCTGTGTACATGATTTCACTCCACCACATGTACCGCATGTGGTGCAAACGACAATTAAGAATCTCTGACTCTGACAACAGTACTATAGTTCATAATTTCTTATCTGACAACCCAATTGACATGGAAACTACAGCGTTTTTGTGTAAACCCACTAATTTTACCCTTAATAAACATTGAAAAAACACTAACGTTTCCAGAGGTTGTTCTCATGTAAACGGGGCCTTATAGTAGGTAGATCACTTTGACTTGGTCATTTTAAAATTTGCTCGCATGATGAAAAAGTCTGGGCACCCCGTTCTATGGGGCCCAGACCACTACTAGGCAGTAGATAAAATGTATCCAGTCTTCATAATCTATCAGTCTGTGTTGCCCCAAACACGAAAAAACAAAAACTTCTGTCCTTATTCTCAGTGTAACTCCTACCAACTGACCTGGGACCTGTTCAGTTTTTCTTTTTTAACTGCACTGTTCCAGCTCTATGATGATGACTCTTTAGAAGATTTACCACTCCCTCACCTCCTTCTTCATCTCAGGAGAATAAAGCCATAAGCTCTCTCAACAAGGAGCCAAACATCACCATTTTATGAGCCGAACAGAAAAGAAAGGCCTCAGCACAGCAAGTCCACCTGCTCCTGAGACCTTTGCTCTAATTTCTAGTCATTGTTCTTGTTAACAGTCTGACGGTTTTCCACATCCTCACACTGCTCAGTTTGTTCCTCTTTGGTCAAGGAGAATAAAACTTTGAAAGACTCTCATGTTCTTTCAGGTCCTTATTCAGCCTGAAAATAAATCTCCCCTTATTATTTCACATTTCATCACTACTGAGACCTTCACTGACTTCCTAAGTTGTCAAAGGAACATTCAGTTCAAGTTACAAATTATTTATTCATTAAATCATGAATTTAATTCACGGGGTGGGGGGTGGTGATGGTGACCTTGGCCCTCATTATCCACCCTTCATGCATCCATTGGAGGAAATATAAAAACTAGACAGTTTCTTCAAATGATTCCCCAAGCATTTCTTTTCTGCAGACTAATACAATTTTCAAACTTTTAAATTACCTCTCTATAGCTATTCACTTTTTTCTAAATGTCCTTTTATTGAAGTCATTTGTTGTGAATGTTTCCCAGAATCAGGCTGTGTGTGGGAGAACCTTCAGTTCCAAAACATAATTATATTTATCATATAAAACTGTGTGTTTAGGTTTATTACTGCAGATCGTTGGCCGTCGCCTACAGTGAACACAACTGCCTGCAAAGATTTCATGAGCTGATCTCAGACCAGGATACGCCTGCAGGTCTCAGACCTGTTCTCAGCAACCTGTGTACCTTGTTTGGACTGTGGAGCCTCAGCAGCCACATGGCCACGCTGTACTATGGTAAGAGCTTCTACCAAAGCCCAGAAGTCCAGATGAAATGGACTGAACCAGCTCCTTTTTTGTCCAGGTGATTACGCGAGTGGAAGGAAACCTGCAGAGCTGGTTCAGATGGCCATCCTCACGCTTTGCTCCCAGGTACTGAACAGTTTTGCCAGTCATCTCTGGTTCTAAAAGGGTTGATGATAACACACAGTGGGTCTATAAGTACAAAAGAGTTTGTGTTTTTGTACTTACAAGCTAATGCAGTTAGAGACACTGCATATTCTATGAAAATGTGGAGTTAACACTAAATTATTTAGCTGAACTTTGCTGAAGAAGCTGAAACAGAGTTGTTAAAGTGACAACAAGCAGAGCAGAGGCTAAAATGCTAAAGTCGTATTGTCAACATTCCAATCTGAGCTTTGGATGCATTTGACTTAGTGCTGATAAAATATTGACCACAGAAGAAGACACACAAACCTTTATTTTTATTACTAACCTTTATTCAGCCAGACAAATCCCATTGAGATCTTTTTTCAAGAGAGGCCTGAAGGCAGTCTAGTCTAAACATGCAAGCTTCAGACAAATAGACACCAGGCCCAGCCCTGGGCTTGAAGGGGAGCCCAGTTAAGTGTAGTTGGTTTTGCTCAACATCCCTCTGTGAGCTAGGCAAACAAAGACCCAACAAGTCTCTGGAGGGAGCTTCATCTGCAGGTGAATTTAGCTGAATTCATACCTGCAAAAGTCACTTTTTGGCAAAATTTTCAGATTTCATACTAAAAATGTCATTTACGTGAACCATGCAGATCCGAAGAGGTTTTTTTTTGTGTGTGTGGGTGTGTGTGTGGGTGGGTGGTGTAGGAGGTTAGAGGCGTGGTAGATGGCATAATCTCTTCCGTCACTTGGCTTAACAGGTGCTCATCTTTTCAGGGGTTTTTGCCAACGGGGTGGGGGGGTGGGGTGGGGGGGGAAGACACCTCCATGTTGCACGTCACAGATACGTTAGTGTAGGACAGTGGCTGTCCGTTGTCCATTTCTGCAGACACTTTTGATCATGTCCAGAGCTGAATTCTATCTGGTTGGAGCATCTAGTATGTAGCTGTGTCCCAATCCAATGGCTGCATTCTTCGAAGGACCCGGCCTACCCGGTCGACGTAGGCCGGGTCCTTCAAAGACCACATAGACCGGAAGTCAATGACTGTGAATTGGGACTGGTATAGCCTTCAGGGTTACGTTGGCGTATGTCCTGTTGCCTAGCAACCGTGACAGAGTTAAGCCGAAGAAAGAATGGAGACCGAAATTTTGTTCTTGTTTTTACTTTTTTAATTCTAGAGGAAATACTGGAACTTTATCGCTGACGCCGACATGTTTTATATCTTCTGCTGAGAGACAATCATTTTCAGGTAACTAATTTTTTTTTTTTAGTTTACAAACTTTCAAAACTGTTAACCTAGTTTCATGGATAATTTCAGTGATTGAAAGACTAATGAATTAACTTTATTAACGTGTGCATAATAAAGAAAATGGAAATGCATCTTCTTAAATTAGTAATAATTTAATCAAATTTAATGTAATTAATTTACTATTAAATTTTATATATATATATCTATATATATATAT